AGACCCAGATTGATTATCTACTCTTTACAAAGTGTGATAGAGGTCTTTGTACATATTGCAAGGTTATCCGCGTGAGAATCTCAAAACCCAGCATAGACTATTGGTTATGAACTTAGAGATCATGAGGAAGAGGAAGAGGAATAAGAGGATTGTATTGTACGGTCAACCTAGGATCAGATGGGGAGCCTTGACCAAGGACAAAGCTTGGGAGTTGGGTGAGACGTTGTTGGCTCTAGGGGCCAAGAGGAACAATGGGTACGGGAGTATTTTGTGGACCATGATAGCGGGTCTCGATGGGTTACTCTGGCAGCCACAAAGGGGACTGGTGGTAGAGTGAAAAGGTCCAAAGACGTTTTTGAAAAAGTGAAAAAGTGGAAGCCAAAAGAACGGCTTATTTGAAGCTAGTGAAGAGTGTAGACGAGGAGGAGAATAAGACGAATATGGAGTGGTACATGAAGGCTAAGAAGGAGGCGAAGTTAGCGGCTACCGCGGCTAAGACTGCAATATTTGGACGTTTGTATGAGGAACATAGGATCAAAGGTAGGGACAAGAAGTTGTACAAGCTAGCCAAGATTAGAGAAAAGAAGGACTGTGACTTGGATCAAGTGAATGCATCAAAGACGAGGAAAACAGAGTTTTGCTGGAAGAGGCACAGATTAGGCGAAGATGTCAGACATACTTTCATTAACTCTTGAATGAAGAGGGGAATATGAACATCGTGCTGGATGATTTATATCACTCTGAGAGTCGTCAAAATTTTGGGTATTGTAGGCGCATAAGAGTCGAGGAGATTTAGTGGGCTATGCGTAAGATGATTATGCGTATAGCGATCGGGCTAGACGAAATCCCTGTGGAATCCTAGAAGAATGCGAGTAGAACAGGCTTGGAGTGGCTCGCTTAGATGTTTAACGTTATTTTTAGGACTTACAAAATGCCCAAAGAATGGAGGTGGAATATGATGATTCTGTTATACAAGAACAGTGGAAATATCCAAAATTGCAACAACTATAGGAGTATCAAGCTGCTAAGTCATACTATGAAAGATTGGGAGATGGTGATAGAAGTAATGATGTGTCTATTTTCGATAGCCAGTTCGGATTCATGCCGGGCCGTTCGACTACGGAAGACGTTCACCTTGTTAGGAGATTGATGGAGCAATATAGGAAGATGAAAAAGGACTTGTATATGGTGTTCATTGATTTGGAGAAAATATACGACAAAGTCCCAAGAGAGGCTCTATGGAGATGTTTGGAGGCTAGAGGTATGCATGTAGTCTACATTAGGGAAATTAAGGACATGTATGATGAAGCTAAGATCCGAGTAAGGATAGTGGGAGGAGACCCAGAACACTTTCCGTATTTTTTAGTTGTGATGGGGTTGCACCAGGTTGGGTGTCAATGGATATTTAAAAATTGACTAAATCTACCGAACCGTACCGTACCAAACCAATTTTTAGATCTCTTTTAATAAAACTATAACTTTTATATAAATCTATAATCACACCGATAATTAGGGTAGGCTTTTATTTTATGAAAATGAATCAAAAAATATCAAACTGCACCGAATAAATCCACATGTGAAAAATATATTTATATGTTAAGTTTGCATTAAAAAATTTTTGGACTTTGGAACTATGAAAACGGTTACAAGCCAACAAGTAATTAAAATTAAAATCTTAATTATCAAACCTATTATGCTACTCTTATTGAAACTAAATTATTTTCAGCACATTCACTAGCAAGATACAAGGAATTCTAGCTATTATGAGTAACAAACTACAATATATTGAATATGTTTCCTTTCATATGATTTAGATTTATCTTTTTGAATATTTAATCTTCTATAGCCTTTATTCTTGAGTCCTAGCTTGATTAATTTCTTTCCACTCGTGTGATTATATTTTCTTTGTCTTTACTTAGTTTCTTTACGCTACTGTAGAATAATTGATGGATCTATACTCTAACCATCTTTTATGTTTTCTTAATTCATCACCCTTTAAACAGTAAAAATATCTAGAGAGTTTTGCTAAGTCATATAAAAGTACGTATGTTATATTATACTTCTACTAGTGAATTTTACATGACATTTAAAAAGAAATACCGAAAATTAACCGAAACCGACATGATTGAGACGGTTTCGAGAATTTTAATTTTGGTTATATATAACAGAATAACCGAAAAATTGGTATGGTATAAATTTTATAAAATAACGAGCCAAACCAGACCATTGACACCCCTAGCACCAACGGTCAACCATTAGCCCGTTTTTATTTTCCTTGACGATAGATGCACTGACAAGACACATTAAAGGGGAGGTGTCATGGTGTATGTTATTTCAGATGACATAGTTCTGATTGACGAGATGCGAGGTGCTTTTAATAAGAGGTTGGAGGTTTGGAGACATACCCTAAAGTCTAAAGGTTTCAAGTTAAGCATGACTAAGACAGAATATTTGGAGTGCAAGTTTAGCAGCACCCAGGTAGCGGATATGGATGTGAAGCTTGATGCACAAGTCATCCCCAAAAGAGAAAGTTTCAAGTACCTTAGGTTAGTAGTACAAGAAAATGGGTGAGATTGATGAGGATGTCACACATCGTATCGAAGTAGGGTGGATGAAATGAAGGCTTGCATCTGGTGTCATGTGTAACAAGAATGTGCCACTAACACTTAAAGGTAAGTTCTACAAAGTGGTGGTCAGACCGACTATGTTGTATGGGGTAGAGTGTTGGCCAGTCAAGAATTCTCATGCCAGAAGATGAAAGTAGCTGAAATAAGGATGTTGAGATTGATGTGCGGGCATACCACGTAATATAATATCAGGAATGAGATATCCGAGAAAAGGTAGGAGTGGCCCCCATGGAGTCTAGGATGCGGGAGGCGAGGCTGAGATGGTTCGGACATGTAAAGAAGAGAAGCACAAATGCCTCAGTTAGGAGATGTGAGAGGTTGACCTTAGTGGACATGAGGAGAGGTAGAGGTAGGCCAAAGAAGTATTGGGGAGAGGTGATTAGACAGGACATGGCATAATTTAAGCTTACCGAGGACATGACTCTTGATGGGAGGGCGTCGAGGTCGAGAATTAGAGTAGAAGGTTAATAGGTAGTAGACCTTTTAACTTTTTCTCTCTCGTACCGGTAGTTTTAATGTTAGTATGGTATCTTTATATTCTTAGGTTGCCATCATTACCTATTGTTTGATTGTTATCTTTCGTTTCGATTTTCTTAATATCTTGTTGTTGTTATTGCTTGTTGCCACTGTTTCGTTTCATCTTTTCTTTAGTCTAGGGTCTAACGAAAACAACTTCTATGCCCTCCCAGAGTCGGGGTAAGGTCCGCATACACCCTACTCTTCCCATACCCCACATATTAGAATTCACTAGGTTTATTGTTGTTGTATAGAGAAAAAAAAGTCTCAAGCAATACGCAAATATAGCTTTTCATTGTTTACGTACACTAACAAAAAATATAGTTTATTTAAACCAAGGTCGCGCTATTTTTGCTTGTTTGCCTCAAAAATCAAACTGCGGTTCAAGATCAAGATTGTCATAACTTACATATGTTCAAACCTACAATAAAGAGTAGGCAAAATAGCCTCTGGGCCACCTAAATTTGTACCTAATTATCAACCCGGTAAATAAACTTAGAAGTTTCTCATTTGAATACTTATACTTGACGGAATGAGTACTAATAAACACCTCTAGCTGAGCGTGTTCCTCAATCGCTATGACACAATTGACACGTTATATTCTTAACCTATTATTGTTTGACAAGTGTAATTTACAGGTCTCAGTCTTTTTTCACCAATTTATTTTAAAAAAAATTAAAAAAAAACTTTCTCTTCCTCTGCACCATGGCAGCCCCACCATCACCATATGTTTCATCCACCATAGACATCATAATCATCTACTCTAAAATCCCTCAAATCAACTATGAACTTCATCCTTCTTCATTCTAAAACTTCCAAATCAATAAAAAAAACACCAATTTCTTAATATTTTAACTTTTTTTTCTTTCTATTCCTATTCGCTATACCTGCTAGGATCGTGGGAGCGAAAAAAATTGGAGAGTTGCATAAGATATATGGAAATTCCGATAGAATTCAACTCTCAAAACCTCAACATCCAAATCTGCAACTAAGAGAAGCACAATCAATTCTCCCCGAAAAAAATTCACCAGTGACCTCATCAAAAACCACCTTTGATAATCATCACTTTTTCATCTTTAACTACTAAAACCAATCAAAATCACAATCCCCGAAAAATCAAAAAGTTGCACAAAATTTTTATCATAAGAAAAAGAAAATTAATCGTGAAAAGGAAGAAGAAGAGAAATTAAAGGGGAATTAGGGGAGGTGAAGGGAACGACGTTAATGGGGGAAAGGAACAGAAACATTTCCTTTGTTTCTTTATTGTTTATAGTTTTAGTTTTTTTTAAAATGAAAACTCGCATAGTTACGCGTCTTACAAGCGTGATTTGCACGTACCTCGGCCACATCAGCTATGTCATTGCCACATAAGTATGATCAATGGTCAAAGTGGTTTATTAATGTGATAATAATTAAGTTAAAGTGTTCAAATGGAAAACTTTTAAGTTCATTTACCGGATTGACAATTGGGTGCAAGTTTAAGTGGCTCGGAGGCCATTTTACCTAAAGTGTATTGGCATATACTTTCACCTGAGTGTGATAAGTAGCTCAAATGTACCGCCAGACATGATCCACCTCTAAAGAAATTACTCTAATACAGTACTAATTTTCTATTAAAAGCAAGAAGTCATTTATCGCTCTCTTTACTAAATAAATGTATCTTTACTGATCATTTAGTGAAGTGTCAATTACGTAAAATGTTTAGAGACGGAAAAAGAAAGTAGTTTAAGCAAACACTCTTATATAAAATCTATTAATTTAGTAGTATTAAATACATTTCTTAAGGGGCGTAATGTTGAACATAGTAGATGACAAGCCAGCCAATGGAACAGCTGAGACGTTGATATCGCTGACAACTGGTTAAAAGCCTTGCAACACACATTAGACCAAAAGCAAACAGCATTAAACTTAATAGGCTGATTATTTTTCCAGATCATACAGTTCAAACACCATAAATACAAGATATTTTCTAGCTAGGCTGAGCACTGAGTCATTACATCGAACAAGAGGGCGGGGCGGGGGCGGATGAAAGAGCTTCGACCCCAAACTCCGATCCGTGTAACTTTTGCATGCCATTTCTTAGGTAAGCAGCTTCTTATGTTTTCCAGGTTTTCAAAGAATTTACAAGGTTACTAAGCCTGCAAAATTCAACAATGTAGACAATCAAAGAAATGCACATAAACCAAATTGTATTAATCACATATCTTGTTTAAGTTGTAACATAAAAAGCTTGCCAGTAGTTTTCTAACCAGTTCAAGTTTCCCAACCCCAAAACCCTTTTGATAGATTTTCCACTATCCATTCACCCCCTCAATATAAGGAAAGAGACCTCATAAAACTATCGCCCAAATCACAAGGACGACCAAGAAATGCCTGACCTGGCTCTGGCTTAAAAATGGAATTTCATGAGATGTAAAAGAAGTCGTAGAGATAAAAATAGGATTGAGACTAAATGACTCAAACCAAGAATTAAAAGTAGATCCCTCCAGATGGAACAGGAAGGTCGAAGCCAAAGCAGATCACAAAATGCAAAGGTTGATAAACAACTTACTATGACAGCTCACTCTATGGATGACAGGTCATTTAGCCTTCATCCTCTGATTTAGAGTCATAATCTGAGTTGTCCTCAAGCTTTACCTCCACTTCGACCACCTGCACTGGGACTGGGAATGTGGGTGCACTTCCTGCAAGTAGGGAAGAAATGCTAATATTATTGTCAATGCTGCTATTACAAATATACCATAGAGCTGGTACAAAGGTTCGCTGTTGTATTTCTAGGTGGAGCAGCAACTCTGATCCGTTAATGTAGCCAGAGACAAATTTAACTAAGCATCAAGAGAGGTCACTCATGTAAGATTGTCTTAGAACTCCACTACTTCCCCATCTTCACTAGAGATCAACCTACTAAATACACAAGACTTTGAAATAGACTTGCTAGAAGAAAATAGTTCCTCCAATGTGCTAACTAATGCAATGTACCAACCAAACTGAAGAAGACCAACTCCTTGTTTACTACTTCTAAACTTCTTTTTTATGAGTACTAGTTAAGTTCAAAGTTGTTAGTATTAAATTAGCCAATTAAGTTAAACACCATTTCTAGATACTACACCTAATGAGCAAAGTGCCAAAGAAACAAAGCTGAAATCTTTCCATCAAAACAAGGTGATCACCTGAACCACCAGCTGAGAATTCAAGTCTGTTAAAAAATAATCTTAAGAGGATCAGAATTCAATGCCTGTAGGAGTTAGAGGCATGAGGTTTAAACACTCAAAGGGAACAGAAGCTAAAGCCACCTTCAACCCTAACCACATAACAAAGTGGTTCATTAAACCTAAAAACTGGAAGACACCCAGAATAATTCCGATGGAATCTTGTAACAATCATGCAACTATGGCTCATAAATACCCTATTGTGGACTTAACATCCTATATTCCTCGGCAAATAGAGGTGCTTTTAGACCTACTTCAAAATTTTGGTTTAACCTCTTCGCCTTGGGGTATTTATGCTTTCCGTACAGCTCTAGAGAAAGTTTATCCTTGTAAGGTGTGTTTGGTACGAAGGAAAACAACAACATACCCAGTATTATCCTACACCATCGGGTCTGGGGAGGGTAGTGTGTACGCATACCTTACCCCTACCTTGTGAGGATAGAGAGGTTGTTTCCAATAGACCCTCGGCTCATGAAAGCATAAGCACCACATTAATAAAAATATAGACAAAAAGGGACAGTACCAAAAAACCATATAAAGCAAAATAAAAACAACAAGACAGTAAGGTGATCAACAATGAAAGAAAACAACGGTTAGTCATAAAAACCTACTATCAACAGAAAGCAAGACTGCGTGCCAATACTAATGTTATGAACACTCTAGACTACTTACTCTACTATCCTAATCCTCGACCTTCATACCTTCCTATCAAGGGTCATGTCCTCGGTCAACTGAAGCTACACCATGTCTTGCCTAATCACCTCGTCATACCTCTTCTTTAGCCTACCTCTACCTCTCCGTAGGCCCTCCAATGTCAACCTCTCACACCTCCTCATCTGGGCGTTTGTGCTCCTCCTACTCACATGACCAAACTACCTAAACCGCGTTTCCCGCATCTTGTCCTCATTAGGAGCCACACCCACCTTATCGCGAATAACCTCATTTCTGATCCTATCTAACAACATCATCATCTCTGTTATCTTCATCTTCTGGACATGAGCGATCTTGACTGGCAACACTCAGCCCCATACAACATCGTTGGTCTGACCACCACTCTGTAGAACTTACCCTTAAGTTTTGGTGGCACCTTCTTGTCACACAAAACACCGGAAGCGAGTCTCCATTTCATCCATCCCGCCCCAATACGATAGGAGACATCTTTATCAATCTTCTCATCCCCATGAATAATAAACCCAAGGTACTTAAAACTCCCCCTCCTAGGGATGACCTGCGAGTCCAGCCTCACCTCCCCTTCCCCTCCTTGAGTCTCACCACTGAACTTACACTCCAAGTATTTTGTCTTGGTCCTGCTAAACTTGAAACCTTTAGATTCCAGGGTCTGCCTCCATACCTCTAATTGCGCGTTCACACAGTCTCGCGTCTCGTTAATCAATACAATATCATCTGCAAATAGCATGCACCACAGCACCTCCCCTTGGATGTGGCGCGTCAGTACGTCCATCACCAGAGCAAATAAAAAAGGGTTGAGTGCCGACCCCTGATGCAACCCCATCATAACCGGAAAATGGTTCGAGTCCCCACCCGCTATCCTCACTCGGGTCTTTACTCTATCATACATGTCCTTAATCAACCTAACGTAGGCAACCGGTACACCTTTAGCCTCCAAACATCTCCACAAAACCTCCCACAGAACGTTATCGTACGCCTTTTCTAAGTCGATGAACACCATATGCAAGTCCTTTTTTCTCTCCCTATGGGCCTATACTGCTCCATCAATCTCCTAACAAGGTGGATGACTTTTGTAGTCGAATGCCCCGGCATAAATCCGAACTGGTTCTCGAAAATAGACACACTTCTCCTCACTCTTAGCTCTATCACCCTCACCCAGACTTTCATAGTATGGCTAAGCAGCTTCATACCCGAATTGGTATGAAAGGAAAACATTTTCCGAAAATGTTTTTAAATTTTTCCATGTTTGGTTGGCTTAAATATTTTGGAAAAATATTTTCCTCATCAACTCATTTTCCTCCAATTGAAGGAAAATGTTTTTTCTATTAAGAGAAGGGAAAACATTTTTCAAAACTCTTTTACAAACTTCCCCACCTATTCCCCATCCCAGCCAACCCACCCCACCCCACCCTTAAATAAAAATATTATTAATAGTATTTTCTTTTATATTTTCATGATTTTAACGTTGTCTCGTGGATAGTGGTACATTGAGGAATATCCAGAAATGCATTTTCTGTCACACACTTTTAATTTTCACTGCAAACAAGTTCAACTATAGGCCTCTAGCTCCATTGTTAATTAATGAGTATTACTATCATATACCTTGGCTAAACAGAATTTAATCAGTAAAAAAAAATAGTAAAATTTTAGCCATTTTTTCTCCATATTTAATACTAGTGTGTATAGAAATTTCTTCTTTTTTTTTAAGAAAGAAAACAAAATGGTTTGACTATATGACGTATACATTTGTGTTTTTGTCATATGAGCAGTTCTGACTAAAACAGAAATTGATGTAATCCCTTTTCTTTTATTTCCCAATACTAAATGTAATTTTTATACAATTAATTTCTAAAAAATATGTTTTGAATTTTTGTATTATTGCAGGGCACAATGGGTTGGCCACCAGTGAGATCTTTCAGAAAGAATGTAGTGGTTTGAAATAGAGTCATGAAACGTTGGGTATTTGGGGGGGAGCAAGGAAACATGGGGACTTTGGGGAAGTGAATGAGGAGAGTAGCATAAAAAAATATTTTCCTAAAAACATATTTTTAATCTCTAACCAAACACTAGACAATATTTTTCGAAAAAAGTTTTCCACTTACCAACCAAACAAGGAAAAATAAGTGATAAAACCACTCATTTTCCATGGAAAACATTTTCCTTCATACCAAACACACCCGTAGTATCAAATATTTCAACTGAGTTTGGGATGTTGCATTAAGATTCTACTTATTACTGGGATATCCCATTTGACTCTAGACCATGTGCAAACCTGTGGTGTGGTTGGTTTTGGAACTGCAAGACATTTATCCGATGTGAAATAAAAGACTAAGACACTAGTTATATGATTCTACGGTATCCTTTGTAGGAATTATAACTAGACTATTTTTAGCTTGGCGGTTAACTTTCCGCAAGTCTCCTTCCTTTGTGTAAGCTAGGGACCACCTACACTTACATAGTCAGCAAGATATGCCTTAAGCAATCAATTCCAAAAAAATAGGTCTTACTAGCATTTATATTGGCGATAATACCTCAAATCGCTAATTTATTTTCAGTCTCTACACTACCACTGTGAGCTAAAAACAAGAATTTTTTTTTAATGACTGAGAAATCTGTCTGGGGCCAACCCATAGGACCGACCGCATTCTTCGAAACTTGGGAAGATGGGTCTGCTTATCTACCATTCCCACTTAAATTACCAGGATTAGTTCGCATTGCATGGGCTCGAACCTTGCGACCTAAGTTACAAGTCCCTCAACGTTCGCCACTTGAACTAAGCCATATGGTCTAAAAAACTAGACAATTGTTTTTACTTCTCAATTGTTCTCCCAAAAAGAAACAACAACAACAATTAAGAGTCAGTCCCAACCAAGTTTGGGGTTGGCTATGTGAATCCTCATGGACCATATTACTTCATTTAAACTATGTCATGCCAGTATTATGCAAAAACTAAATAATTAAAACATAATCAACTAAAACACAAAAACGTTACCTCTCATTTGTCCCACCAAAAAGAAACAACTACTACGCCTCAATGCCTCAGTCCCAAACAAGTTAGGGATCGCTATATGAATCCTCACTGACCCGTTACTCCATTTAAACTCATGTCATGCCAATATTATGCAAATATTATATAATTAAAAGTATTTGAATTAAAAACAAAAAATTTAAACATTTAAAGCTTCCTCCTTTTTAAACATATGTATACCTCCAGTAAAAAAGGAAGAAGAGGGCCAACCACGAACCCTTGACACGCACGCCGTTTCATCCTCCGACAACAACAACGAAGACGAACCAAAATGACTCCTCACAGAAGCAAGCTTCCCGACAACCTCAACAATCCTATGAGGATCAAAATCACCTCCTCCTCCTCCTCTATGACCATGTATACCTCCTCCTACTTTCACAAACGGTTGATTAGGAAGAGGTGGGACCCAGTAAGAGTATCCAGGCAAAAAAGGGAGCCAATCAGGTGCGGAACGTCTCACGATAACCGAATGGATCACCTCTTCTAACTTCCTTATTCCGCCTTCCGATCCGATAGAGGAGGAATCAAGATCGATCTCGATTAACTGAGGGTGAGGTGGTTCGCCTTCGCCGGAACCATCGCCGTCGCCGGACCGGTTGGAGTTTGAACGGTGACGGAGAGTGAGGGGAAGAGGTGGGGCGAATTTGGGTCGGGTTAAAGTTCGGGTTAGGGTTTGGATTTGGGAATTATTAGAGAGAAGACGAGCCATTTGGGAAAGGAAATTTTTGGTAGGAATTGGAGAAAGGATTTGGTACAGATGAAAGGAAAGAGGAGTGAATTAATAGGTAACTGGTTTACTTGTTAGGCAGGTGGAAATAGGGCGAGAGACAGTTGAGGTGGCAGCCGTGGGCGGTGGGTCTCATCGGTGACTGGTGAGCTGGTAGTGTTGTTTTTGGTTATTATTCTTTTTCCTTCAAGAATTTAGGATAATGTAAGTTCCTCTTTTTTTATTCGCAAAAATAAATCTTCCTCGGTTTAATTTAACTTGTTTATACTATCTTTGAATCTTGAGGGTTGAGTGACTGAGTGTCTATTTTTAGAATTTTCTTTTGCTTGAATCTATCTTTATAATTTATTTTGCAAGTATTTTAAGAAAAATTACCAGTTATGTCCGTTCATAAGTAAATTAGTACAAAAATTGATCAGTTTATAAGATATTACTAATATTAGCCAATTAGCTATTTGTAGCCAAAAAAGGATCAAATTTTAAGAAGTTTGAATCTCAGTTTTGAAATGATTTGGTAGAGTTTTGAGGTGGTTTGAATTGAAAATTCGAAGTAGAATATGAACATGGAAAAAGATGATATGTATATCATACTATGTATTATCTGTGTGTCACATATGTATCAAATGTGTATCACGTATATATCCATGTACATATACGTGTGAGATACATGTTTGATACGTGTGTCGCGCAAGAATTTTTTAAACTCGATTTTAACTACGATTGTTGGTATCAAACCAATCTAAATCACCTCCAATCTTGCTCAAATTTCGTATATTGCCTCATTTATATGTTTTCAACGAATTCCAACCATATCCATTGGAAAAAAAATCATTTTTGCCTAATCTATCTATCTATCTATCTATCTATCTATATTATTATAAAAGCACGAATACAATGTCGGTTTACAAAAATAACCTTATAATATTAAGCATAATAACTCATAATAAAAGTATATAACCGGAATTCTAGATATTAAACTTATAATCCTATTAGTTTTAGGACATAATACTACACGTTAGGAATCCAACATGTTTACCTTTAGGAATCCTATTAGTATAATTACTTTCGGGCTATCTAATTCATATAAAATCGAACAAGTAAATATCTTTAGTCATATAATCATATTACTTTTAGGATATACTCCTTAAGAATTTCTATTACTAATTTAATTTGAAAACGTATTATAATGTCTTATTACTAATTTAATTTGAGAATGTATTATATTGTCCAAATTTATTTAGAAAAAAGAGAGTATATATTATTATTAAAGCATAAATACAATATTAATATATCAAAATAACACTAAAATATTAAACGGAATAACTCATAGGGAAAGGACATAACTGCAATAACCTATTTTTTGGACTACAATACCTTCTATGCTAATTTTTAATATTTAAAATTTTAAAATTAATAAAATTTGTCTATTAAATTCTTATTAAAAATATGTAGGAATGTTTAATAAAATCAGTTTTATAATAATGCTCCGTATTGGCAATACATTACCACTCCATAATTTTCAATACGAAGAAAAAATAAAAGTAATATTAAATGGACTGCATAAAGAGTTGAAATTAAGAAAAAATATACCCACACGGTAATTATATTTTTATATTATATTTGAACTATTTTTCTACTCAAAAGAATATTTTTTATCAATTTTTCGTGTAATATTAAAAATTACTCAATTATTAAACAATAACTAAGAAAATATTTAAGAATATAAATGTATGAGAAAGAGAAAAAAAAATAGTTGGTAAGAGTCAATACCACTAATGAGTCTACAAACATAAAGATCTAAAAGTGAAATATCATATCAATCTTTTACTCTTTGAAAATAAAATTTATGGTAGATAAAATTATAATTAAGATTAAATATTCAAAACAAGAGATTAACTAATATTAAGAGAATACTCCCAGGTTCTTATAATTGCCTGGGATGAAGCACTTGTGAACTCCGGGCAATTATTTTTTAAATTCATCATATGAGTAAAATTCTAATTCAAGTTTTAAAAAAAATCTTAGGGTACATAAATTTATTCCATAAAAGGGGCGTTAGAACACAAAGTAAAAAGGTTAGTATATTATTAAAAATCAAAATGCTATACAAGTGTCTGAGAAAACACAATCAAAGCTAAATCCTAAACAAGAACTAGCTTTCAAGATAATATTATAAAGAGTCAACTATGGTATAACAGGATTATTCTTTGTAGATGTCTCCAGCTGAATCGAAATAATATTTCTATGTAATGCATTACATGCAAATATCATATCAAGAGGCATGACACGGTTAGCAATAATAGCAAGTGGTGTACCAAGAACGATTTTATTGTGAGGTCACCCACTTTAGATTTGATATACCTCTTCAAACAACTTAAATAACTATCACAAATAAATCAAAGTAGAGCAATGGTGCTAAATTTATAAGGAAATAAAAATTGATAATATAGGATGAAGCACTTATGGTTAAGTGTTAAACGATCGAAATAATTGCCCGAAGTTCTAGATATATATTGGATATTAATGAACTGTTTGGTGAAAAATTAATGGTTTGGGAGGTTAATTCTGTCAAGTACTACCAGTAGTTCCAAAATCGACAAAAACAGATACTGTAAAAGCTAGCTTGCCAAAGTTATACTTCTAGCCTCAAACGAAAAAGATTCAACTAACAAGAAATATAAAGTAAGAACATATCCAGTATTCAGTGTCTTATTGCTTTGTGTCGGAAACAAAGAAGAGCATCCAATAAAAGATGATTTGGTTCCTCCTGAACACTTGGTTATCAATCTCAATGATAATAGTAGTGCATTTAATAAGAGAAATATTTTTATCATTAAATTAAAATGCAATTTGTGCAAATCGCATGATAAAATTAAAAAAACGTATTAGCTAGCAGAAATAAAAAACATCTTATTTATTTGTTATGTATGTTAGTGTCAACGTATGTATATATAATAGATATTATGATAGCTAAAAATGCACATGCACCTGACCAAGTCAGTAGCCAGATCAGCACTTCTCAAGTAACAAAAAATGTTAGGCGCAGCATAAGAGTGAAGAAGCATCCAACAAAATTAACAGACTTTGTTTGGCAGCAGAGTGCTGGAACGCGTGAAGTGTGAAGCAAGGAAATAGGATTTAGCATTCCCTATATATACCTAGTAGAATAAGAATTGCAGTAGGCTTGTATTATGTGAAAGTTATGTATCCTCTTATCTCCCTTCTCTCCGTGTCTTCTCATCACCATTCTTATGGTGTTTGAGTTCTCTGTAATTTCCTTTAACTAAGTTGTTCTATTATTGCCAATTTATCAATATAATATACTTTAGTGTTATTTGAGTTTGTACCATTGGTGCTTTCACTGATTCGAGCTCCATGATTGGGTTTTCGAGTTCCATTGCTACTGACACTATGTCGTCTTCATCGTCCTCTAAGGAGATCGCGGATCTCGCAGCCTCCGTTGCCGATCTTACTATGGCCTTTGCTGGGGAGCAGAAGCTACTCTTGGATTTGATGTCTCAGGTGGCCAATTCGTCGTACTCTTAAGCAGTTGCCACAGAAGCTCCCACCGGCATTCTGACCATTCCTTCGATGCGACATAAACCAGCTTCTGTGGAGATGCCTCGCTTCTCTGGTTCTAATCCATAGGGTTGGGTCTTTGACGCAGAAAGGTACTTTGATTTCTATCATATCTCTGAGGATCATAAACTCTCCCTAGCATCATTTTATTTGGACGGTGAGGCCCGCGAATGGTATCGGTGGTTGTTCCGCAACAAGCAGCTGAGTGATTGGCCTCGTTTTGCTTTGAAAGTGACGAGCCGATTTCAGAAGCGTTCCTTACTTCCACTAGAGGGTCGTTTATCGAAGCTCCGACAGACGTCCACCGTCACTGAGTTCCAGGCTCGGTTTGAATCAATTGCAAATGAAACTAATAATGTTACATTCTATATAGGATAATTTTGAAGAAAAATATGTCTGCCATATTACTGAAAAACTTAGATACGCCGAATAACTTATATAATAACACACAGATGGTATATAGAAGTTTTGACAATAATGTCATATATGTAAAAATTATGATATTGGTCAATGTGCTTCTAAGTATGTTCTTATCTCTGAATTCAACTTTCGTCTTCCAAAACTAAGGAATATTCTTTTAAATTTGTTAAGGCAGAGCAACCAACGCATTAGGAGGAAACATACACAAAAAAATATTGTCTACAAAGAAGTGTTCGTTAAGAAACCATCACATTAAATACTTTTAAACCATAATATATAATTGTCTAACTAACATGACAAAATTGATCATTTGTGTAAGTTTTGATGATGTCCTTTTATTTTAAATTCATGTATTATGCTAATATAATAATATTTTTTGGCATTTAGATGATTGTTGTATTATTATACATAAAATTTCTCTCATTAATTAAATTTTATTGTTCATTCATATAAATAAATGTTTAAATCATTATGTATCATCATTAACGTGCAACGCACGTTCATAGATACTAGTATTTTTAATATTGTATATCATTGTTAGTGAATTTTGACTCCAAACTAGTCTAACTTACCTTCAAAATTCATTAAAATTTGTATAGTGTCTCATCTACGTGTTTTCAATGAATCGCAACAATACCCATTGGAAAAAAAATGCCTATATTTTTTGCATGTTGTATATCATTGCTAATTTTTTGGCTATTTTTTTGTAAGATGACTAAAATTTTGAGTTGCTGGTAAATAGTGTACATTCCCGTAAGATTTCCTTATTTTAATCATCACAGGATCAAAGAAGGTGAAAAAGAGATTACGAATTCAATATGAAAAGTTCAGTTTGGATTTTCAAATATCGGATTGAATAAATTAAACCCATATCCAATTTATATAAGATTGGATTTTTTTAGTTCGATTTGACAGTAATCAAATTGAATATTTTAAATTTTCGATTTTGAGTCAATAAATTGAGCTTTTTCATTCTTTTTGCAAAAAAAGAATATTCAAATAAAGTATCCATATTAATATTAAATAATATTAATAGTTCTTTATTTCATCACAATCATCCAAATAAGTATTCATGCAAATGAATGAAATCATTATTAAAAAAATGCAACATACTCATTAACGAGGCCCTACCAATTAGCA